AGCCGTACCTGCCCACAGGGTTACAGCCCGTCTAGGCGAACACCACATACATATCATAAGGCATTTGCACTTAACAACTCAATAGCATTTCAATAAAACAATACATGAAAACACATCATGCATATAAACCATCCCCCCATGGGACATGGTGGAACCAACAATGGCTAAACCGAGGACACGAAAGCTTACCTTGCAAGCTAACTATCCAAGCCAAGAGTCCAACCAAGCTCAAAGTCCACAAACAGTACAATCACAATCTGTTTGGACCAATCATAATATCAATATTCATACTCTACAAGCATTTGACATAAAGACAATGCATTTCCTTTACGTTTCATATCTTAAGGCTTCTCACAAAGCCACAAGCCCTAAATCACTTTGATGCAGACTTAGATTAATTAATACAGAAGCCCACACTGACTAATCATGGGTCCACAAATCCAAAATAGCATTCTGCATGAACAGTACCCTCACTGTCCTCGAAAATCCAGAATATCCGGATATTTGTCGAGGGCATATCCGGATATCAATATTCGGATATCTGTCTGGCAATATCCAAATATCAATATCCGGATATTCAGAACCCCATATCCGGATATCCATATCCGGATATCAATATCCGGATATTTCCAACCCAATATCCGGATATTTCGCGGCAGAACCCAGATTCTGCATTTTTGCGAGATATCATTCCCAAGGATCCATTTTTACCGATTACAGAAACTAACACATACATTTCTAGGTGTGTTTAAGCTTACCCAATCTTAAGTTATGATCTTTAGCTTGTTACATGTATCAAGACTTCATTTTTAACAAAAAAGAACTCATGTTCAAGGTTGGTGACACTTACCCAAGCTTAAAACAGAGCAACAATGGCTCTTGGAGCTCACCAAGCAGCTCCAAAGGTTCATACTTTGAAGGTGCACGAAAATGGCACACCACAATGGTCCTTGCTCTTCAAAGGTCACACCTTGAAGCTTCAACAACCAAGAATATGATTCCCAACACTCCAACCAACAAGTCAGCCCACCCTCCTCAAACTCATAAGTTCAAGCTCAACTATGGAGCACCCCACACCCTCACAAGACCAACTCTCACTCAACAATGGTGTATAGGTGAAGGTTTCATGAAGAAAGGTGGCTCTTGGCTCTCAAAATGAAGAGAGGAGGGGTTGACATGGGGAGGCAGCAGCTGGAGCTCAAGAAATATTCACGTAGGAGGCACAAAGATGACCTAGGATCACGTGTCATGGTCTTATATAGGCCACTTAAGCTTTAATCGCACTGTATTATCGCTAATTGCTACGTTTAGCAATTTAATCCCAAACTTAGGATTCTGAACCTACTCATTTTTTTAAGATTTATCATATTTTTATATTATTTTTCGCAACACCTTTCTGGTACGTGCTTTTCCATAGCCAGTATCAGTTCTGGCACCAGTTCTCATTATTTTAACTTGAAACTTGAAATCACAGTCCTACATATTATTCTAGGAATATTTATGCAGTTATATTAATTTTCCGGGATACTTCATCAGTACGCATTTATACCGAGTAGCAGAACCGGTATCTGCACTTTTCGTCAAAAAAGCGACTTTCAGCATTATTACCCACTTAGCATAATTATTTAAGTCTCATAATAATTATTAGGGTCAATTATGGAATTATTTCCTAATTTCACATAATTAATTAATTAACTTCCTTAATTAACGGTGCAGGTTCTTACAAGCACCCCCTAGCCGGACATATAAAGCTGAACCAGAAGCAATGTCTGAGATTTGATGAATACAAAGACGAGATGTTGAAGATCCCTTACCAATCCGCTGTCGGAAGCTTGATGCATGCAATGGTTTGCACTAGACCCGACTTAGCCTATGCTGTTAGAATGGTAAGCCGGTATTTGTCAAACCCCGACAAAGAGCACTGGGAAGCTGTGAATTGAATTTTCAAGTACCTCTGAGGTACGACCAACTTATGCCTTCGATTTAGAGAAGGCACAGCCGAGTTGCAAGGCTACTCGGATGCTGATTTAGGGGGAGATTCCGACTCGAGGAAGTCGACGACAGGATACATGATGAGATTTGTCGGAAGAGCTATCTCTTAGCAATCAAAACTATAGAAATGTGTGACACTTTCTACGACCGAGGCTGAGTACATTGCCGCTACTGAGGTAAGCAAAAAGATGTTGTGGATGAAGAAGTTCCTCATGGAACTCGGCCATGATCAAGACAAGTATGAGCTGGATTCTGACAATCAAAGCGCAATCCATCTTGTGAAGAATTCGACCTATCACTCCCGCACTAAGCACATTGATGTGAGGTATCACTAGATCCGGGATGTGATGGAAGGTGGAGAGCTCGAACTCGTCAAAGTGCACGCTGACCAAAATTGGTCCGACATGATGATGAAGTCGGTTCCAACTAGAAAATTTGAAGACTGCTGTGAAGGAGCCGTGTTGATGCTGAAGCCGACGCATTGAAGTCGGAGGGGGAGATTTGTTGGGCTTCCTCTTTCAATGCTAAGCCCAAGCCCATTGCGGGGTTTCCTAAAAACCCTAAACCCTAGATCTCACCTCTTCTATATATTCATTAGTTGTGGGTGGAGGCTAGGTTAGAATGAGAGAAGATTATTGAGCAAAGCTTTGAGTTTTGCATTTAAGAGACCTCTAGAGAGAATTTGAGTGAAACACCTCTAGGGAAGTTTGATTATCACAATTGTTGGAGAGGTTGTGTTAATCACCACTTTGGTGAATTTTGATTCTTTGTACCCATTATTATTATAGTGGACGTTTGAACTGGACTAGATCTCGTGGATTTTTACCTCTTCATTAGAGAATGTTTTCCCACGTTAAAATCTGCTTGTGTTCTCTTTCTCTCTCTCCCCTTTATATTTTTCATTTTTCCGCTGCACTGCCCGACCTGATGAAGTTTAGGTCGAGGTAAGATTGTTGAGATCCGAGATCCAGAATCTTGTTGATTGACTTCCGCAAAAGGCTTCTGAGCTGAGTTGAGGGAACCGAGTTTCCAACAATTTGTTATTTCTATTTCTTTTATTAAAAAGTATAATCTTAGTACAAGATATAATATTTACATTTAAGTTTTAAAAAACTCTTACAAAAAAAAAACGCATTAGATTTAGATATAAAAACATGAAGTGGTTTAAGAATAGTGTTGTATTAGTGAATTTGAATCACATCACGGTGCTACTATATAGTATATATAAACATAAGCATTACAAAAGTTGTCATAACAATCCTATTACAAAGGTGCTGCTGACAAGGTCACTACTCCAATAAATTTAAGGTTTATGGGTCTTACTTCCATTTAAAACAAAAGGAAAATGAAAAGGAAAATTCACGTGGACATGGTTTGTGGGAAAATTCCATGAACTTTCGCCAGAGCAAAGCGTTGACCAGTTCATTAAAATATGAAGAAAACGAATGCTGCCATCTTCTCGTGCCATTGAAGTATAGTCATTAATTAAATCGCTTATTGAAATTCTAGCGGGACCAAAGTGGCCACAAAGCACCAGCACGATAAAGTAATTTCTTACTCTGCATCCAATCAATGTTAACGTTGGTGTTGCCACTTCAGCATTTATACTTGATATTACAGAGTTCATGAATAATTTAATCGCAAATGATTAATTCTTTTCATTGATATTCGCAAATCATCTTTTCTTGAAGTTAAGTTAAATAATATTTTTTCCTTTATACGTTCGTTACGTTGTTATATTAAATTATTTGAGGGTGTATGCTTGACAATTTTTTTAATGATTAATAAATATTGCAATTTAATACGGAAGTTTTGTAAAAAAATTCTTACAAATGCTTGATGATCTATCATGATTAAAGAGACATTTAAAAAAAAAAAAAAACATTTGACAAGAAAATAATTGTTTTATCTGTAAATTGAAAACTATTTTTAACTATTTAACAATTTTCATAAACATTTTGCGTAGGTGGATGTAACTAAACAATTATTGTATTTGTCGAAGTGAGGTGGTGGAAGCACCACTCATGCCACTGGAATGAAAGCAACCAAGACTAATGAGGCAGGCATAAGACAAAATTATGATAAATAATAATATTATCTTTTTTAAAAGTACACAGTTAAGGTAGTTGTTTTTGGACCTTATTCAGTACGTACAATAAGTTTCTTCTAACATTGATTGCATATGTATTGAATAGTTTCTTTTCCTTTAAAATGAAAATGTATTGCATATTCATTACAACCAAGAAAATGAAAATGTTATTTTCCTTTAAAATGAAATGTAACTTGATTGCATATGTATTGAATAGTTTATTTTATGATATATGATTATATTTTAATAATGATATTTTATAAAATTTTATGATTAAACTTATTATTTTTTAATAAATTCAACAAAGGTTCACTCACATTAATATTTTTAAAAAATGTTTTTTAAACCTTTTTCAATTCATAAAAATAATTTGAATAATAAAAAGAAATAAATGGAAGTTAATAGTTAAATTATAATAATAAAAACTAAATAGGGAATAATATTTTTGATGTTGTATCTCCTATACATACGTAAAAGTATGTGGGGTTTATTATAAGAGAAAAAAAAAATATGAACCTCAAATATTTTTATATGTATAAAAGATAAAATTATTTTCATGAAAAATATTAATTCCAAATAAATAAGTATGCGTCAGATGTCCTGTTAAAAAATGGTTATTTAAAATTATATATTATTGGAAATATTTAAAATTATTATTTTTAACTATATACTCCTAAAGTTACCTACTTAAAAAATGGTTAGAGGAATGACAAGCCACATGATTCATATAAAACCCAATAAATAATGCACAGAATTTACGGAGAATAATAACAATAGCGATGCTTTTTTTATTTTTGTGTACGTTGGCATCAGATTCTGTGAGAACAATGTGAAAATTTTCCAATTCTAATATGCAATGGCAGTTGCGAAGGGGAAACCGTAAGCAGAGAGTGTTAAAGTGCAAGGTCTTCTCCACACCAAAAGGCACTCTTCAAATACAAAGCCTTACACTCAGACAGAAAAACGGTTTTTCAGATCTACAGCCAAAGATCCATTCCCTGTTTGTTTCCCGGGAAAATGAAACAGTTCATAGAAAACTTGCCGTCAATGGATCTGATGCGCTCCGAGAAGATGACCTTCGTTCAACTCATTATCCCAGCCGAGTCCGCTCAACGAGCCATCTCCTATTTGGGCGAACTCGGTCTCCTTCAATTCCGAGACGTAACTTCCCTCTCAGATCCGAGCTTCCTTCCTTCACATTATGTCATCTTTTTTTATTTTTTGCCGCCTTTTGTTCTTCGTTTTCGATTCCTTATTCCTTGAATGCGGAAGAATGTTTGTTGAATGATATTAGTTTTGGAGTTCGTGGTAATGTTCGAGTTGAGTGTGAAAAGTGTTTGCGTTTCACTCAAGAAATGATTAAAATGCAGCATTGTTGAATTCGTTTGTTGAATTTATGAATCTGGTGGCAGTGTGCGGATTTATTCATAACTGTGGTTCTCTTGTTGTTTGTTGCATGTTTGATTCGGATGTTTGGTGCTTCTGTAATTTTTAATTTTATATATATCTCAACAGCTTCTCCCGCTGTTTATGCAAAACGTGATCCAACATAAGTGTACTTTTTGTATGTGAAACTTCTTTACATGTTGAATCCAATTATGGTTTGAGTGCTGGTTGAGAGGTGCACGATTTGGTTGCATTATGGGTTGCTTAAGTTTAATGTTGTGTGTAAAATGTAGATAACTAATCTATGTTTTATAATTAGTTTCTCATGTTACTGGTATTTCCTATCCTTTTTTAAGGTGGTGGGTTATATACCTTGTGTCATTGGTTCAGAGATGAAGGCTTCAGTTTGGGTTCCAGTCTTCCAACTAAGATAGCCTATCTTTGTTTACTGTCTTGCATTTTGCTTTGTTGCATATGCTTTCTCCTAGGTTCAGAAGGCTAATTTTAGAAACTTGATTAGTCGGTTTCCTTTTAAGTTAGATTGTGTGGAAATGCTTATGTTGCTACTGTTGGTAACGGTAAATTCCATTGGTAATTAAGGACAAAATGATGATAGTTCACTATGCCTACAGCAGTCACGTGTTAGAGTGCTATATTGGTTGAAAATTAGTATTCGTTATTATTATAATTATTTATCGAAAGAGAAACTTGGCACAACTGTTGATGTTGTCGCCATGTGACTTGAATGTCATAGATTCGGTTCATGTAATCTGCCTCTTGCAAATGCAATGTAAAGCTCCCTACAACAAACCCAAAATATACTGACCTAACTGCATTTATTTCATCGACTTCTTTTTTGATAGCATGAGTCTCACTTATTTCTAATTCTAGTAAAGGAGGCACGTGTTGCAGTAATACCGAAGATTTAATCCTTTTTTATATTAGAGGACTCTCCTTATTATTGGCTTCTTTATGTGTGACCATATGAGTAAAAATTGGTGGAGAACCATACATATAAGATGGGAGAATGGCTGTATATCTGGAGATTTGTAGCTCTTTTCAGTCTAGAGTCCTGGGTGTATCTGGATCTGAATATTTCAGCTTATATTGGATGTGCAAAAACTTTGATGTTAATTTTCTGATTCTGGTCTATTCTCTCATACATTTTCACTGGGAGAGAAGACTAAAAGTGGGGATGTTATTTAAATTTTCAATGATATCCTTTTGCAATATCATATACAATGCTGTCTCCCGCTATCAATGGTATTTTGGGTGGCAACTTGCAGGTCTGTCAGGAAATATTAAAATTTTGTTTCTAACTTTTTCCATTGCTGCCATAGGGAGCTTCAAGAAGTACTTTTTGCCCTTCTAAAATTTCTGGTTTGGATGTTGGTGGTGTAAAATTGTTCTATGATCTTTGATCACCACATTTCTTATGGACCTTATTTTCTCATCTGTAGTTAAATGCCGAAAAAAGCCCCTTCCAGAGAACGTTTGTTAACCAGGTAATCTACACTGCACTAATTATTTGAAATCAAGTTGCTTTTTGAACGTCCTCAATTTTGTCACTTTTTTGGAATGGTAACTCATTAGTTTAGTTGTTTTATGATAAGGCCTTGTCTGTAGGTGGGATTTGAGGTTTTTCTATGGGCCGGTTGTTATGACATTATGTTCTCGATTTACCAGTTAAAAAAATAAAATGAAAAGTTATAATCAATTACTAGTGGATCAGATTATAGCTATCCAAATCCTCCTGATTTGATACTAAAGCATGGAAGAAATCAGTTCAAACTTAGTGAAAGAGCTTGTTTTTATGTCGTTCCTCTGTTTTTCTAGAATTAATGCTAACTGAATTTAGTGTATAAAATATTGACATATTAACTTCTCTGTAGTTTATTTTTGAACTGGATGTATTGTTATCTATCTTCAGAAGTCATGATTGTGATAATATTTTATATTTTTTTAATTATCAATATTAATTGCATTTTGCTTTATACAGGTAAAGCGATGTGCAGAAATGTCAAGAAAGCTACGGTTCTTCAAGGATCAAATCAATAAAGCCAGTTTAATGTCTTCGCTTTCTGTCTTGCAACCAGATATTTACTTGGAGGATTTAGAGGTCCTTCTCTATTTTCTTTTCATACCCATCTGATATGATCACTGTCCTGGGGCTTGCATTCAAGATAGTTGTCAGGCTGCTAGCAATAATATGATGTTGTAACTATAGTTGGTTGTCTGCAGTTTTACCAGTTTATGTGGGAATTTTCTCTCTTGGATCTGACATTATAAATTCTGTTGAATTTCTCTTAAACCAGACACAACTTGCTGAGCATGAACATGAGCTAATTGAAATGAATTCTAACAGTGAGAAACTTCAGCAATCATATAATGAACTCTTGGAGTTCAAGATTGTATTGCAAAAGGTATTTTCCCTGGCTATTTGTGGTGAGCATATTCTCTTGTCACTTTTAAAGTACTCGCGGATTCCATATGCTCATATTAGCAAATAATGGTCTTTCTGGTCATAATTGGCGTTAGTTATTGTAGTTTTTTGTTCAACCTGTTGTTCTACAGTAGTTCTGATTTTAATGTACTCTGTCAAATAATAATGATATTTTATTTATAATTATAAATGCAATCCTGTTTTTTAATATAAAATACTTGCTATATACTTTCTTTCACATACATAGATATACTTTTGTGGGTATATTTCAGGCATGTGGTTTTCTTGTTTCAAGTCCTGGCCATGCTGTTTCAGAAGAGAGAGAACTGGAGGAGAATGTATACTCAAATGGAGACTACGTCGAGACACCATTTTTGTTTGAACAGGTTCCTCGTAACATCCCCTATCACCATTGATATTTTTCTTCTGTGAAAAGCGTAAATTCTGCTACTAGTTTTTTTTCAATTTTCTTTTATCTTGTAAGTGTGCTATAATAAATTGCTTACTCTACAGGAAACAAGGCCTGGACCATCAAATCAATCTGGTTTAAGATTTATCAGTGGGATAATTTGTAAATCCAAAGTTCTTAGGTTTGAAAGGATGTTGTTTCGTGCTACAAGAGGAAATATGCTTTTCAATCAGGCACCGGCTGATGAACAAATCATGGATCCTATTTCAACCGAGATGGTTTTCTTCTTTCTTATCAATTTAAAAAAGATTGATAATTTGGCTCTAGTTTTTTTAATCTGTATTTAACTGTTATTAATTCAACCAATACTATGCCCAGTCAGTTTATTTTCCCATCAATTTATACTCTGTCATCCTGTGACTCAGACTCCTGAACTCTACTTTTCAGGTTGAGAAAACAGTGTTCGTTGTGTTTTTCTCTGGGGAGCAAGCAAGAACAAAGATTCTGAAAATTTGTGAGGCATTTGGTGCAAATTGTTACCCTGTTCCTGAAGATATAAGTAAACAGAGGCAAATAACTAGGGAGGTAAGTATGGTCAGCTTAAGAAGATGCTATATTTTTTCCTCTTCAATTATGTATACACTTGTAGTATAGCATAGGGCCGAGTAAGTTCTAATCTCTACATAAAATTGAGCTTTTTGCAGCTGCAGTTTCTGTGGGGGGGGGGGGGGGGGATTGTTGTCTCTAAGTTCCATATTAGGGAACTACAATATTTTAATATCCAAGTTTATCATAGTATTCAGAGAACTTGTTTTTCAATCCAAGAGGATTTCTTTACATGCTTTTTAAGATTTCAGTATGCAATACCATAATATATATATTGGGGGGATCTATCAAGGGAAGAAAAAACTAAAAAGTAGTGTTCATTAAATTGAATCCAACTTTGCCTTGTCCTCTAGGTTCTTGATGTTGCTTTATATCACTACATATCATCATTGGTGACTGTAAAAAATGGGAAGTTGGAAACTGTATGATTTATAGTTGAAAAGTATATTTTATGGTTACAGGTTTCATCACGTCTTGATGACTTAGAGGCAACTTTGGATGCTGGGATCAGGCATCGGAATAAGGCTCTAGCTTCTTTAGGAGGTCATTTAGCAAAATGGATGGACATGGTAAGAGTTAGCTTCTGAATGTTTTCTTGTCTGATATTTTCTTGTTCCTTGTACTGTAGCTGCAAAGCAGTCCTAGTATCTGATCATTGTTTGCAAGTGATAGGTATTTGTAATAAACCAATAGATCTCATCCTTATCATATTGTTCTAGGTAAGAAGAGAGAAGGCTGTGTATGATACACTGAACATGTTAAATTTTGATGTCACCAAAAAATGTCTTGTTGGAGAGGGCTGGTGTCCTATGTTTGCAAAAGTACAGGTAATTTTTTTAGTTTCCTCAAATTTGTTTGATCCTCAATAACTCCCTTTACCTTTTAGTTTTTGAGGAGTTGAAAACATCTTTATATTTTTCTAGTAAAGAGATTGCATCAACTGATTTTCCAGATTCAGGAGGCATTGCAACGTGCAACTTTTGACAGCAATTCTCAAGTTGGCATAATCTTTCATTCAATGGATGCACTGGAATCACCACCAACATATTTTAGGACCAACTATTTCACAAGTCCATATCAGGAAATTGTTGATGCATATGGGTGAGCCTAATATTTACTGTGTTTATTAGCGGCAACCCAAATACGTTAATGTATTGAAATAAATCACTTTTCATGCTGTTAGAAATACATGGCAACGTTCTATGCCTATATCAATAGACAAATAAATGTCTGATTAATATACATAGCATTGCAGAAAGTTAGTTAGGACGCCACCCTAATTTTGCAGTGTTGCTATGAAAACTGAAAAGACTCCTAACGAGCCCTTTTACTTGGCACTGGCAGTGTTGCAAGATATCAAGAAGCAAATCCTGCAGTTTACACAACTATTATATTCCCATTTCTTTTTGCGGTGATGTTTGGGGACTGGGGTCATGGAATTTGCCTGTTGCTGGGAGCGTTGGTTCTTATTGCACGTGAAAGCAAGCTCAGCACTCGGGTAATTTCATTCTAACTGACATAAATAAAGTAGCAAAGGAAGGATTATACCAAAAAATCATAATGGGCGTGTGACATCTGTTATGGTTAATTTTCTCTGAGAAAAAGGTTATTTGAGATATATCAAATTCGAACATCCTTCTTTTGCTGATGTTTAATACAATCACCATAATGATGTTCAAAGTCTGAGCATCCAGTGTTTTCCATGATTTAGCTGTTAAACACCTCAGTAATTTGGTGGCAATTTTTTGGTAACTATTATGATTTTCTGTCCTTAAATTTCTTTAAATTGAAATGTGTCCTGATAAAAAATCTATTGTACTACATACAAGTGCAAACAGAGACACAACATATCCTTTACTTTTGTTCTGCTCTTGGCATTGGAATAAAGTATCTGACTTTTCTATTTGATTTCTGCCAGCGACTTGGAAGCTTTATGGAGATGCTATTTGGTGGGCGCTATGTGCTTCTTTTGATGTCACTATTTTCAATCTATTGTGGGTTAATCTACAACGAATTCTTCTCTGTTCCTTTTCACATATTTGGTGCTTCTGCTTATAAATGCCGAGATAGTTCATGCAGGTGTCTTCTATTTGTCTCTTTGGAGCTTATAGCTTTTGTGCTAGTTGGATGTTTTTTGTTCGATTACCTAGATACACAATACATTACTTGTTTTTGTTTTAAGTGGCCCTCTTTATTTATTTATTTATCTGTTTTTTGAGTTGACATGTACTTTGATTATTTCTGACTATTGTTGAGAACTCTTATATTTATAAAATAAAGGGGTTAATTATCCACTAAAATAGGCCATCTGGGCGATAGATTATTATCCACTCAGGTGGTTGGGATGGATGGGTTTTGGGTAGAGGTCATAGGTTCAACCATTCAAGTCGTGGTAATGATTCAAGATTCGTTAGATTTGATTTGATTCACATTTCACTTAAAAATTATTTCCTTCAAATATTCGTCATCAAGAATAATCAGATTGGCATCCCTTGCACAGTTGCGCTCTTCTGTTTTGCTCTGTGTTTATGTTCCTTTCCTCCTTCAAAATTGTGCTAATTTTGGCTTTTTATATTGTCAGAGCATGTATAAATTGGAAAATTGTTTTTTAGCCAGGTTTTAACTTAGTGGTGTGTATTTTTCATCATTCTCCACTCCTTATCAGGGATGCACATACTGTTGGCTTAGTAAAATACCGAGAACCATACCCATTTGGTGTGGATCCCAGCTGGCGTGGAAGTCGTTCAGAATTGCCTTTTCTGAACTCTCTCAAGATGAAGATGTCCATTCTGCTTGGTGTGGTGCATATGAACTTGGGAATTATATTAAGTTATTTCAATGCTCGTTTCTTTGGCAACTCACTGGATATAAGGTGTCTCATTTTTCTAAATTCCAACTGCAGCTATTATTTTACTACCCTTTGAGTAGAATGTTTTAACTTACTCTTCATGGTCCTTTTAGGTACCAGTTTGTGCCACAGATAATTTTCCTTAACAGTCTATTTGGGTATCTTTCCCTTCTCATTGTTCTCAAGTGGTGTACTGGCTCCCAGGCGGACCTTTATCATGTAATGATTTACATGTTTTTAAGCCCATTTGACAATCTTGGTGAGAATCAGTTGTTCTGGGGCCAAAGGCCACTTCAAGTATGACTCTGGTTCTTCCCCTCATCGCTGCTTAATAAATTCTTTTTCTATTTTCTGATTTTCATCGTTCTGAATCACTGTTCATGATATGTAGGTTTTGCTATTGCTGTTGGCTGTAATTGCAGTTCCATGGATGCTCCTTCCAAAACCTTTTATACTAAAGAAGCTTCATAATGAGGTGCCACTTTTGCCTCCCTTGTGTATGATTTTATTGCTTGAAAGTTGATAATTTTATTCACCAAACCTCTTGATTACATTGTAAATATGTCTTGCTGGTTTGAGTTTCCCCCTTTATGGCTGGATTCAATAGGAAATGCAAGACTTATAATTGCTAATAACCGCTAAAATCAAATTAGTGTTCAATTATTTTAGTAGTTATTTTTAGAAGTAGGTGTGATAAGTTTTTTTAGGATGTATAGTAGTTATTTTTAGAAGTAGGCGTGATCAGTTTTTTAACTGCTAATAACTTCCATTAGGAACTGCAGTTGGCGTTCTGTATATAGGAGTAGTTTATGGTATAGTTTGGGTGTGTGAGTATTTTTGTTTTAGTTTGGCTGAGGCTGGGACAAGGGGATCTATTCCTTTGCAGGGAGCATTTACTCTTAATTTTTTTGTAATTTCTCTGTTGTTGATTAAACAAAATTCTCCCATACTCTAGATAGAGTCTTTCCTATCAATTGGTGCTTTCCTTGAGAGATTTCAAAGGGAGAGATCTGTTTTTGTTGATTTATGTTTATAAGAATGGCTGCAGAAAGAGTAAATGCATTGAATGTAAGGATTGCTGTAGTGGAACTGTGGAAGTATTAATCAAATCGCAAGAAGCTATTTTGCAGAATCATGATGCGACAATGAAAAGTCATTCCTTGCTGTTAGAAGAACATTCAACCAAACTCTCCTCACTCATCACTAGTATTGGAGATATCACGAAGTCCCTAGAGGCTTTGCACATCAAAACTTTGAGAGGGTTTTCACAAACAACATTCTGGGGGTCCATCTTTTGCGATGGGGTAAATAATATAGTGGACAGGATCGAATTATATAAAACTGCATAATTCCCATAATGAGGATTATAGAATGATAGCCAAGAAGGTTAAATAACCAGTATTTTCTGGAGTTGATCCAGTAAGACGGGTGGCAAGCGCTGAAGCATATTTTGATGAACATGGAACACCACCGGAACTTTGAGTTCAATTTGCTCAAATCTGTATGGAGGGAACGACATGGTACTAGTTTAAAGTAGTTAAAGAATCCGATCCACAAATGGGATGGGAGAAATTTAAGTGTCTTTTTGATTGTTATGGAGAAAATCATTTGGGGGAATTCTTTTTCACAACTTAAGGTTTTGAGACAGAAAGGATCAGTTGATGATTATGTGGAAGAATTTGAAATGTTAGCCGCACACGTTTAACCAATGCCAGAAAAGCAATACCAAGGGCTGTTTTTACCCATTTCTATTGTTAGAAGAACATTCAACCAAACTCTCCTCAATCATCACCAGTGTTGGAGATATCGCGAAGCCCCTAGAGGCTTTGCACACCGAACTTCAAGAGGGTTTTTGCAAACAACATTTTGGCTGTCCATCCTTTGCGAAGTATGGGGTAAATGATAAATATAGTGGAACAAGACCGGATTATATAGATCCGCATAATTCCCATAATGAGAATTATGGAAGGACAGCTAAGAAGGTTGAATTACCAATATTTTCTAGAGTTGATTGAGTGCGATGGGTGGCACGCGCTGAAGTATATTTTGATGTACAAGGAACACCATCGGAACTTCGGGCTCAATTTGCTCAAATTTGTATGGAGGGAATGACATGGTACTGGTTTAAAGTAATCAAAGAATCTAATTCAAAAATGGGATGAGAGAAATTTACGCGCGCCCTTTTTGATCGTTATGGAGATGATCACTTGGGGAATCCTTTTTCTCAACTTAAGGTTTTGACACAAAAACAGTCAATTGATGATTATGTGGAAGAATTTGAAATATTAGCCACACAAGTTTCACCAATGCTAGAAGAGCAATACCAAGGGTTGTTTTTACGCATTTTTGCTATTAGAAGAACATTCAACCAAACTCTCCTCACTCATCCCTAGTGTCGGAGATATCACGAAGTCCCTAGAGGCTTTGCAAACAACATTCTGGGGGTCTATCATTTGTGAAGTATGGGGTAAATGATAAATATAGTGAAATAGGGCCGGATTATACAAAACTGCATAATTCCCATAATGAGGATTATAGACTGACAGCCAAGAAGGGTGAATTACCAGTATTTTTTGGAGTTGATCTAGTGGGATAGGTGGCACTCGCTGAAGCATTTTTTGATGTACAAGGAATACCACCAGAACTTTGGGTTCAATTTGCTCAAATTTGTATGGAGGGAACGATATGGTACTGTTTTAAAGTAGTCAAAGGATCCGCTCCACAAATGGGATGACAGAAATTTAAGCGCACCCTTTTTTATCGTTATGGAGAAAATCATTTGGGGAATCATTTTTCACAACTTAAGCTTTTTGACACAGAAGATCAGTTGATTATTATGTGGAAGAATTTGAAATATTAGCCGCTCAATTTCCACCAATGCTAGAAGAGCAATACTAAGGGCTGTTCTTAGGGAGGTTCTTGCTATGGATGTTACTATGTTAGTGAGAAATATAAGACCATTTTTGCGGCTAAGTTGGCAGAACGAAAGTTAGGCACTACTAGAACACAAAAGCATGCAAATGGTTGGCGCAAGCAAAGTGGATATCAAAGAGATGTTGTGAATATAAGGTTATACACGACAGGGGGAAGAAATTTTGAATCAGGATCCCAATTTGATCCCAACAAGTCAGCGTCGCAACAGTCTGGATGTACTGATAAACCTACGAAGTCTGAGGATAAGTCCACAAGAGGGCCGCACCGTGGAGTTCGCAATTTATCCTACCAAGATTGATGGATCGTAGAGCCAAAGGACTATGTTTCATGTGTGGACAAACCTACACACCAATGGCTTGCCAAGCAATTAGGATTGTTAATTTGGGAAGAAGAGGAGCAAACAGGTTTGCTAGAAGCACCTCATTGCAGTGGATGAATCAAACGTATAAGAGGACGTGGGAAGAAGCTACATAGGAAAAAAGCAAATAACATCAAGAACCAATTTCTAGAATTCTGCCTTGAGGACAATGCCGATTTTAGGGAGGGTGGAATTGATAGGAATGCAAGACTTGTAACTTCTAATAACCGCTAAAATCAAATTAGTGTTCAGTTACTATAGTAGTTATTTTTAGAAGTGGGTGTCATCAATTTTTTAACTGCTAATAGTTGTCATCAGGAACTGCAGTTTGTGTTCTGTATATAGGAGTAGTTTATGGTATAGTCTGGGTGTGTGAGTATTTCTGTATTGGTTCGGCTGAGGCTGTTTTGTACGGAGCATTTGATTGTAATTTTTTTGTAATTTCTCTGTTATTGATTAAATAAAATTCTCCCAGACTCTAGATAAGGAGTCATTCCTATCAGGATTTCTGCTTAAGGTTTTCGAACTTCAATTCTCCTTCAGATCCATTTTAAGATCATTTTTCTCTGGAATAAAATATGCTAGTTTAAATTGCAACTTTTATTGGCTATGCAGACATTTTTTCCAGCTATAGTTGCCTTTGTTGTATATTTTTGTTGACAGCTAGTTATTAACAAAGCAATGCCCAAGGAGTTTGTGAAGATTACTAATCTTTATCCTCATGATATTATAGAGATTTCAAGGACGCACTTATGGTGTGCTTAATACCGCTGAGGTGGATCTTGAGGTGGAACCAGATTCTGCCAGGCATCATCATGAGGAATTCAATTTCAGTGAGGTCTTTGTTCACCAAATGATTCACTCCATTGAGTTTGTTCTAGGTTCAGTTTCAAATACAGCATCCTATCTTCGACTTTGGGCATTAAGGTTGGTCATCTGTGATTTTCCCTCATTGCCATGAATTCCTATTTTACAAATTCCTGACCCTTGATTGATTTTTGTTACCACTTTCCAGCTTGGCTCACTCAGAACTTTCTACTGTTTTTTACGAGAAAGTCTTGCTACTTGCTTGGGGGTGAGTTTAATTTATAACCTTTCATATGCCATACTCTTTTTTTTTCAAGCTCTATTGAGATGTTTATGTTTCCTTTATCAGTTGTGCATAGCATACCTTATTTTTTATGCATTTTCTAACAGTGAAAGTAAGCTTTATAGATTATTATCCCTAGTTTAAGATCATAGCAAGGAATGGCATTGTTGTTGATGATAGTAAGAAACTTTTTTATTTTCCTTTGTAAAATATAGGTATAAGTCACAAAGATATTTTTATGGTGTAGTGTAGTTTTCAAACAGTTATGTGTTTATGGTTTATTTTATGGGAAATTTTTTTGTCATTTTAGATGAAACGACATCGTTTTAGTGTATATTTTGTATTTTTTACATTTTCTCTCCTCCGTAAAATTAGGAAGAGAGAGAAAACGGAGTAGAGAGAAGGTAAAAAATAACTAATTATGCATCAAAACGAAGTCGTTTCATCTAAAATGACATAAAGTTATAAAATGACGAATGTTTTTCCATTATTTTATTGGTATTATTGTCGTTAACTCGGCTGACAAAATTATTTTAATCAATACTGGTGCAGCCTTTAATGTGTTTTGCACGACCCACTTGCTAGTTTAGGTTACTGTGGCTTCTGACCGGACCCTGATTAGGAGTTGTGAAGATACAACCATGCAACTAATCTCCACTCGTAATAAATATAAATATTTTGTATGTGTATGGAGTTAAATTGCAGAAATTTTTGCATGAAAAAACCCTGTCATTTCTGCATCATATTTTAGGCTGTGACTTATCAATCTATCATGTTTGCATTCCTTTGTGGAATTTATCTTTTTCAATATCATTTTTTTAATCTTTGATCATTGATGTCATCGCTGTGTACGATTATAACAGGTATGACAATCTTGTCATTCGGTTAGTGGGGCTAGCTGTTTTTGCCTTTGCAACTGCCTTTATACTTCTTATGATGGAGACTCTCAGCGCTTTTCTTCACGCCCTGCGACTTCACTGGGTAGAATTTCAAAATAAATTCTACCATGGTGATGGCTACAAGTTCAGACCTTTTTCCTTTGCCTCCTTAACAGAGGATGAAAATTAATCCATTCTTGTTTGTCTTTGGTTTATTGGCAAATATAGACAAAGGATATATACATAAGTAGAAGGAGCACAAAATGAGAATTTGTGGAAACCAATATATGGTGGCTAGACGTTGAGTTTGCTCGATGTTGTGCTGCTTGATATTTGACCTAGCAACAGAATTCTGGCTCGGTTTCCCGTGGCTATGCTGGTGTGACAGATTTCGATCAACAATCATGGATGGCATCTGTAACAGAACATTTACTTTCTAATTTTCTATCTTAGAGTAAGCAAAACGAGAAGATATTAGGGAAGGGAATGGTTAGACTAATTTTTGTAAAGAGAAGTCGTGTAGCTATTGGTTTTTGGTTGCTTGGGGATACACATATACACACAATGTAGCGCGGGTTTTCCTGGGAAGTAGGCATTTACTCTGAAATATTCTTGTAACGATTGATCACAAGTTATAATCCCATTATTTTTTTAATTTTTGTGAGGTTTATCAGAAAATACAAAAGTCACACCATGCAATCTGTTTGAGTTTGGGTAATGATAAGCTATTAAGCTGGCAGTACCTTGGGAAAACAATTTGAACAATCTATGTGCGCGTCGTCTCTAGAAATACGGTCATGTTGGTCTTTGAATGAAGGAAATCGCATTTATGGTTGTTGAATGTGTAGTTTGTTGGTGAAATCAGTTTGAGTTTCTTGATGAGGGGATTAATTTGAGAGAAAAATATTTATCCTTTTAAAATAAAATTATTTTAATTAAAAATATTATTTTTATTTAATATTTAAATTAAAATAAATCTCTCACTTTCTTCCACTATAGTTTCAATTTCTCTCACTATAAAATATTATAATTTTGATTAAAATGATATAATTTTATATTTTTTAAAGAACAAACATTAATCCCTTAATTTAATTATACATATTTAAGGACCTCACGGTTTCAACTTTCAATCATTCACCGGTTAATACGATATATATATATATATATATATATATATATATATATATATATATATAGTTTGATTTTCTCATGTTGAATGAGAATTCAATTTTCATGTTATAGAGATAAAAAGCATGTGAGACCCATGTGTTAGAAAAAAGTATATTTAGGATCCATGTCAGCACGAAAATCGAAAGGTGTGTAGAAAAATTTGAATTCTTATGTTGAATGAGAATTATAAAACCCTATATATATATATATATATATATATATATATATATTAAGGATTAATTTGACTATTTATTCATTACATCTTATCACGCAGACATAAAATTATATACATATTGGATTTTATAATTTATCAAGTTGAATTCTAACGCAATAAAATTTGCTTCTATCTTACTTAAACATACTTACATAATAATTTTTAATAATCAGATTGTAATAAAGAAATGAATAATTACTCTTAATAGTAAATAATTTTAAATATAAATATCTCTCTTATAGTCTATAAGATTATAAATTTGTTTAAATTAATTTATTTTACACTAAAAAAATTAAATATTTTGATTAAATAAAAAATATATTTCATAAATAATAAATTAAAATCTTTATGTTACGAGTTGAATTATAAAAGTTGACCCTCCCCTAATAAAAAGACCAACATTAAAACGAACAGAGAAGAAGGTACGAAGAAAGAGTCTAACGGGCCCCTTTCTGGGCTAGGGATCATGGGCCCATTAAGAAAAAAGGGAATAACTAACTAACAACCAAAGTCACATTTGACATTTATCCTAAAAAAAAAGAAGTTTATTACAAAAAAAAAAAAAAAAAAAAAGAAGTCACATTTGAGATTCGTAACGAATAAGATGCCTCGTCTTTGTAAATCGGTAAATCCGTAACCAATAACATAATAAAACGACGGTGGTTGTTCCCGCTCGCCATTTTTCAAATTAAGATCCATTTGCAGAAACAGTCACTGTAACCGACGCCAAATCCAATCCATTTCACAGTGACGGAGAATAGAAGACTTTGAACTAGAAGAGAAGAGAGATCATGGATTCCGCTTCCAACCTCTCTCTCTTTGACATCGCAGGCGAAGACGATTCTCTGCTGTTCGACGTTCCCGCATCCACCAACGTTTTCCCCTGCTCTCCCCTCCAATCCTTCAGATCGCTCCCTCCTCAAACCGGTTAGGGTTTTATTTTTTCGTTTTCTTTTATTTTTGAATTTCTGTTTGATTTGTAATGAACACTTAATTAAATAGTGATTTCATTTACGCTACCTACAGATGGAAGTGTAGGTGGTGCTGTGGATTCTGAAAATCCGAGTTCCTCGTCCAAAGACGGTGCGAACAAAGAGAACTTGAATCGGAGCAAACAGGAACCGCTGAAGCTTAGCCTGGAGCCTCAGCAGATGAAGAGGAAGAAGAAAGGGGGTGGCTACAATTTGCGCAAGAGCTTAGCATGGGATCGAGCTTTCTTTACTGAACAAGGCATTCTCTCCTTCTTTTCCTCCTTCGTTATCCATAATTAATTCGTTAATTAGTTATTTAATTGATTAATTAATGCTGAACCCTACTTTTCAGGTGTTTTGAACCCTACGGAACTTTCTATGATTAGTGGCACTGCCACTCCTAGTAGGACTAAAGCAGAGTTGGATGTTATCCATGAGGAAGATCCCGATGGCACTTCGTTAGCGTTGCAGGAAATTGAAGAAAATTTGTTTAAGCAATCATCAGGTGGTGTTCCCATTAAAGACAGAAAGATTGGTGCTAGAGTTGGCTTATCTCCAAAGCCTGGTGCATTAGCCAAAGATACTCTAGCTATCCATGCTTCCTTGGTTAGTTTATATGTTAGAGTGTATGAAAAATATCTCAGTAATAAGTTTAGAGTATCTTATATGATCTATTAAGAATAGTTTTTTTATTTCTTTATATTTTCATGATTTATTTCCTTATTTAATTAGGATTTAAATTTTAGAGTGGTGCTTTGTAACTTGTATCACATCATAACACATCAAATTATCACCAATTTCATATTGTTTCAGTCTTTATTTTCTCTTTGCTTCCTTCCCTGCCTAAATACTTATAATTTCAATGCTATGCTCTTTATCCTTGCCATAGTTAAACTGTGAGTGAAAGTTCATCATAGTTAAACTCTTTTTTTTTTTTTTGAATACATAGTTAAACTCTTTCTGATTTCTCTCATATATTACTTTGTACACATGCTTGTTAGGCAAAGCGGAAGGTGCTTGCAGTCAATGATGTGGTTGGAAACAGAGCTAAACGCAGTGCTTGTCCTCGGCCGGTAGCTTCTTCCTCATATCCTTGCCATTGCTTGTTTAGAATAAATATTTAGTGGGGTGTCTTATATTGTGGCTGTATGATAGTATTGAGTTGTCTCTGTTTCTATATATGGTAATCATGGAATTGTTTGCCTTAACTCCTTTGAAATCTAAAAAAACTTGACACGGTAAAAGCACCAAGTAAAGAATCAAAAGTCACTAGGATACCAGGTCCGAAAACCAATGTTTCTGTGAGTACATCAACTGCTAGGAGTGCAACGTTGAGCACAGGTTCCTCAAAGAAAAATCAGAATGCTCATCCTGGTAAGTTCTGCAATTTGCATTTGTTTCTTCTTTTTTATCCAAGAAATTTTGACAACCCTGAATATGAGAGATATATTCAAGCACCATTATGGTGTTATTGTATAATATAATGTGAAACTGGATCTCCTAACAAATTTAATTTTGATTGAGGTTTGTAATCTCAATGAACTTCACAAATACAGATTTCTTGTGTTACCAAACATCAAATTCTAACCTAAGATGAGATGAACTTACTGATGTTTTGTTAATTTTGTGTCTCTTCTACAGCCACTAGTGTTCAGAAGTATGGAGTAAAAGGCTTGTCAAAAAATCCTAGAACTGTGCCACGTAACCCAAAATTTGATTTGGCAGATAAATGTCTAGTTACTAAAAATCTTACCAAGCAGACTGGAAAGTATTTGGTGAGAACTTAATCTTCTACCTGCTGTAGTTTTCAAACTATCATCATTTGCTCCATCTTGTTTAATTGCTTTTATTTAACGACTAAGCACATGATCCTTCTCTTATAACGTTTTTGACCTGCACAGGATAACTCAGTTTCAGAAACACATCCACCGTCCAGAATGTATCAACCAGGAACTGGAGCAAAAAGGGTGTCAGAGGCTTGTCTCCCACAAGGTCTTTCTGACGCTGGTGAGAAAAAGCAACAGACACAGTTTCAAACAACAAAATCATCAGGCCTAAGGATGCCATCTCCCTCATTGGGATTCTTTTCTCAGGTATGATTGTTCTATTTGGTTCCTTATTTCACATTCAGGTGCATGCATCAGTAACATAATGTTCATATCATCTGTATGATCTCATGTTCGTGCCTGAAACTGTTCTGCAGGCAAAAGCTTCCAATTCACATAGCCAATTACAGAAAAGCTCTACTTCTTGCAAACCTACAGAGAGTAACATTCCTAAATTGAGGAGGTTGGAAACAAGTTCGGTTAATGAGGCAAGACTCCCGCATGTACCTCAGAAAAGGTCTGAAATTGTGGAAGGAGCAGCAGAGAATTGCACTATGAAATTAAGCGTTTCAGATGTTAAGTCAGAAAAAAGCATGCAAGGCGATAATAAGCACATAGCTGGTGTAGAACTGGAATGTGATTCTTCGGGTTTTGAAAAAATAAGTAAGCAAGAAATGGTAGATAATAATCAGATGGCTAGCATAGAAGTGGAATGTGATTCTTTTGGTTTTGAAAAAATAAGTAATCAAGAAAAGGTTGAAAACATTCTCGAGCATGTCAAAGTAAAGACTAAGGAAGAAGGAGAGCTAAATAAAAGTAAGAATGTTTCTAACATGGAGGACATGGTATTCCCTAGACATGAAAAGAAGCTTCTTTCAAAGAGTCATACCCATGAGCAGTTGGAGAAAGAGGCTAACCACTCTTTGGATGACAAATTATATGATGTTTTGTCAAATGGGAATCAGTCTGTATTTCCGGAATCAATGTCTGTGCACAATTCCAGGGGACAAGATCAAGATGAGCAAATCAAGCTGCTCGCTTGTGATGGTCTGACTTGTAATGAGAGTTTGGTGCTGCAGGAAAAGCATGGCACTTCTTTGAAGGATAGTACACATTCTGGAGAGTTCAAGGAATACAATAGTGTCAAGACTTCGTTTGTAAATTCTAGTCTTAGCGATTTTAGTGAAACTGCTTTGGGAGGATCTATACAAGAAATTCCATGTAAGAATACTGAACATGTAAATGATGGAGCTGGTGATTTTGGTAAATGTGGAGGAGATGCACAAGTGCATTTGTTGAATGGGAATCTCTCGGTCAATTGCAATGACACCGCCCAAAGTAATTTAGAGGCAGTTAATCAGCAGTTACAGGGGGAACAACACAAGACTCCAAATCCTATTAGTGTAGGAGAAACTAGTTCAAAAAAAGAAAATGAATCTCATGTAAATAGTTGTCCGCTAGTTCATGTGACAACCTTAACTTCCGAAGGTTCTTCTGATAAGTCTATTCTAGAAATCAACCGTGCTTCTGAAAGGGAACCAAAAAAGGCTGAAATTGAAGACTGCCAGCTTCCGGTAGATGGTCAATCAGGTTTAATTTGGAGAAAACCAGTGGATGAAGGATATGACCAGGTTATTGACTCAAAAGCAATGCATGCTAAAAGTCAAGCATTTGAATTGGATAGGATTTGTGAAGATTGCATAACTGTTTCTGCAACTGCTTGCTTCACTAAGGTAAACAATGTTTCTCCTGAAAGCAGACCTTTTAATGAGAATAATATAGAAAATCTCCACTTTACATCCCAACCATGTCCAATGGAGAAAGCTGATTGTGGTTTCAGGGGAAAAGATATGTTGATTAATAACCGCTGTAACATTTCTGAATCGCAGCTTAATGATGGTGCTTCCTCTAGGGATACTTCAATGCACTGTGATGCTCAGCGCGATGTCCCTGGAAACTTTGAGCAACAAGCTAGTATGTTTACATATTCTGACTCTAATGAAATGCTTTGTGAAGATGAGAGTTTAGTACCGAATCATGACCACTTGCTTGATCAGAGTGAGTTTTCTGAAGCGTCGGCAGATTTTATTTCAAACATCAAAGATTTCATTGGAATTGGAGCTGAAAATTCCTCTGGCCATATACAGCACACACTGCTGGCACAATCAGTCCGATTTGATCACACTAACAAAGGGATTGAGGAATCACACGTAGAAGATGCACAAGCGCAGTCCTTTAATGAGAATCCAGTTGTACATAACTGCAACAATGAAAACTGCCTCTCTGTTACCAATGATCAATTTTCATTGGTAGTAGGTGATAATAATATAAATGAAGATTTTCATCTTTCTGAGTTTCAAAGGCCTAGTGCTGTTGTCGGCATACATTCCCAGCATGTTAATAATATACTGCACTTGGATGGTGACTGGCTGCCCACAAATATTGCTTGTTCTGAAGAAAGCAAGAAAAAAATATTATTTGAGGGTGCATTAGACGGATGCAATATCTGTTCAGGTGAGCACAATGCTTCCAATCATCATATTCATGCTATGCCTGAAAACAAAGATGGAAATCTTGATGTGGATGAAAGGGCAGAGCTTTTGCAGATGGATGATGCAATAGAAGGTTCTTCTGACATATTGCAATTAGTTGAAGTTCAACTCAATGATAATGTTATTTCTGCTGAAATTGATTCTTCTATAAAAGAGAGTGAAGATCCCTTTACAGAGGTAGTTGCTTGGAAACCTGACGAGCATTGTTCTGTAAGCGAAAACTCAAAATTACATGCTTCAGATAAGCTAACATTGCCTGCGAGAATCTCACGGGAGGGCAGTGAAGTTAGTTCATTGAATAGTAAAAGTTCTTCATATGAAGCTGAAACTAACATATTTGAGAAAGATGAGTTTTCTTATACCGACATGCAGCATCATACAAAAGGCGGCATTTATTTTGCAGAAGACAGCAGTAAAATAATTCATCTGTGAGTATCTCTGTGATAAAATTTGGTCATCTATGCTTTGGCAACCCTTCCATTTTTACATCTAAGATTCAGTTTTGATGCTTGGCAAATTGAGTGATATAATCTCAATTTTTTGAATGGTAGCAATGAATCTGCGACCAAAAGCGAGCAGGCAAATCCTAAATTGAAGCCTCCACCAAATGTTGCTCCGTTTTCTGATGAATGGTTAGCTGCAATTGAAGCCGCTGGAGAGGTGACTCAGATTTCATGCTACTTAGTGTTCTTTTTCCGTTTTCAATTCTTAACCACCAAATTTTCGTTTTAGGTTAAGCCTCACGACATTATTTAGACGATTAGTTCTTTGAAATGCCGTAAATTTTTTCTAGTTTGATTCATCTTACCCTTCATCTTTGCAGGAGATTTTGACGATAAAAAGCGGTGCTGTACAAAATTCTCCCCCTGACAAGCCTCAGCAGGAACCAGGTCCATGGTCCCCGGTAGGTTCATTCTTCAGTATCTAAATTTTATTCAAGTTCGAAGCGTAAAGCTCTAGCGTGAATCATTGGCGCTTTTTTTAATTGGGTACAAAAGATAACACCTTACCTGCATGCACTACAAACAAGCAAAAAAAGAACTTAAAAAAAAAAATAATACGAACCCCCAGCATAACACAACTATCCGCTTCTACTGCTACTACGGTGCTGGTGATTTTCGAGTGGTAGAGGATCAGGTCTTTGTAGTTTCAAACAATTTGAAAAAGAAGCAGGGGACAATATTCGTTTCTTGCAAATGTTCGCTGGACCTGAAGGAATCTGCTCTATATTCCATTTGATTCTTCTTTTTGGATGGGGACAGTGGACAGAATCTGCTCTATTAAAATGGGAATTTTTGCAATCTCTATCTGTTCGTGTATCATTTCTTTGAACTTCTTAACATCAAAACATGTAACTTGCATTAGAACTAGGCATCTGTTATTTGTGTTCTTGTGATTCTGTAACCCATTAGAACTAGGGTGACAAGAAAATTTGTGGAATTTCACATCCTTTACAAATGCCTTTTCATTAGCTCTACACCATCTGTTGTCAGATCATCAAAATCTCCCCAATAGCATACCTTCGATGTCATGATAACCAACTCAGTTTCATTTGATTCCTCTTTCTTGCTGAATATAATCTTTTTTTAGTTGAACACCTTAATCAGAAAGTTTGCATATTATTACTGCAACTTTCCTCAATTCGTTCGTGGTCACTTCTTAAAATTTAATCTCTTTGTATTTTGATGATATATTATTGTGAGTATTACTTTAATTTCTGTTTTTTTTGGTTGGCAGGTGAGACGGAAAAATCAAGAGATTGGACCATTTGATTGTACCAAACACACCAATATCCCGCATTCCAGTTCAGAATGACAAAACCGGAATTTGATCCTTATATCATTGATCACTAACCATTTTTTTCCCTTTGTTTGAACCAATACTTCAACAGTTTTAGAAGTTAGAGCACGTTGTATGGAGCAAAGCGCGAAGCAAATAGAGTTCCCAATTGGCAACCACAATTATGCCAGACTCTGAAGATGCTTAAGAAATAAATAAACATTAAACAGATTGTTCTCAAATTGTATATGAAATATGTGTACTTTTTTTCTTTCCTAATGAGTTTTCTCAATTATTATTTATCTCCTTACAAAATTTCTGAATCATTCACATTCTTATTTAAATTTTTTTATCATTTATCCCTTGATTTAAAATTTCTTTATCACTTATCCTCTCATCTAGGGGGATAAATGATAAAAAAAATTTAAATCAGGGGAATCAATAATTCAAAATTTTGGAGATGGAATAAATAATTATGAAAAAAGTTACGGGACTTTTTTTGAAGTTTTTCTTTTATTTTTTTAAGGCGTGCGACTAATCTACACTTCGGCGTGATAAACAAAATATAGCTCTTTCATCACAATTTAAAAGATATCATAATGTTGAATATATTTTACTTTCTATATGTTTTGCTTTTTTTAATTTTCAAATATATGGTATAAGATTCAGTAACAAGTACGACGAAGGTCTATGCATCCAATTTTCAGAACCGTACAGGAAGAAGTACTTCTCTGAAAAGTTTGCTCACAGAATTCAAATCCACTATAATGATAATATAGCAGAAAAAAGCAGTAATCATGGTAGCAAGAAGTTAAAATGGAAATAGCCTAAGCAAAATACAAATAAAACAGGGCATGGGCCAAAAGAAAAGGAAAAAAAAAAAAACCAACAAAACAGGGTTAAAAAAATATGTGGAATAAATATCATTACATGGCACTTTACAACAGAAGGGTACTCGTTAGCTCAAAATCCGTAGTTGCACCTAACTAGGAACACAGATTGAACAGGATTACCCAGCGAGTTTGGTTGGCCACAAGATTGAATTCGCATTCAGCTTGATCCTTTCCCGCTTGTAAATTTGCGCTGCAGGGAACTTAGTAATGAAAAAATTGAAAATGAATTCTTTTTTTTCTTTTCCTTCTAAACTTCAAGTTCCTTGCGTCCTTTGCTTTAAGCAAACTCAGGATTGAGTGCTAATGCCTCCCTATAGATCATCTCTTTTATTTGCTCTTCGTCCAATTGCTGTTGCTCAAAGTCAAATGAGAATGGCTCCATGCAGACTGGTTCATCCGCTACATCATGCAGTTTTTCAAGGTATGGGTGGGCTAATGCTTCTTCAACTGCCAATATTTAAATTAATAGAAATGAAATTTAGCACAACTTTATTCAATATGTAGCTTTGCTGTTGCTACTCTTCAGTGAGTCTACTCCAGCTTTATTCCGATGATAATGCAGCTACCATGCTCAAAATGAGAGCCTACATGTTGCTACATCTAGTTACAGGAACATAAATGAATGAAACGAATTAGAAAAATACCTGTAATTCTTCTGGTGGGATCAATTGTCAACATTTTATCAATCAGATCAATGGCCAAGGGATGAACATGGGGAAAGATCCTAGCTAAAGGTTGGCGAGGATATTGAGGAAGTTGTCGGATATATCTTCTCGCATCTTCATTTTTCACTAACCCGAGGTCAGCCTCAGTTGGAGTGCCAAGAAGCTGCATATAAAGCAAGGCAACAAGCGTAAGCATAAATCCAGAATTATTGCTTTTTACAATTAAAGTATCGATTATATTCATGACATTAAATAACTTGAAATATTATATGATTATCAAATTATATCAACAACCACGGAAAACATTTAATGCAATGGTTTACATCAATCTGCTTATTTTTTATCTCACCTCTGTCAATAGGCGCATCTGATGCACATGGTCTTTGCCCGGAAACAGAGGCTTTTTATTCATAAGCTCCATAAAGATGCAACCAACAGACCACACATCTATCGCAGAGGTGTAATCTGAGGAGTTCAATAACAATTCGGGAGCCCTATACCATCTTGTGACTACATACTCTGTCATGAAGTCATTTTCTAAAGTTGGCCGTGCAAGACCAAAATCAATAATCTTCAAGTCGCAATTTGAATTCAGTAACAAGTTGCTTGGTTTCAAATCTCTATGGATTATGTTTGCAGAATGTATGTACTTTAGTCCACGAAGAATCTGATACAAGAAGTACTGCAAGTACAAGAACATCCAATCAACATCGGGAGAAAAAAAGTTCAAGAGTTAAAACGGAGAAGATTGTAAAGAAAGCAATATTATGATACTAAAAAACAATAATTTGACAGCACTCACCTGGCAGTGTTCCTCTGAAAGATTTTGATTGGAGCGAATGATATGGTGAAGATCAGTATCCATGAGTTCCATGGCTATGTAGACATCATTAAACTCTCTACGCAAGGGTGGGGGAATAACATCTCTTAAACCAATCACCTGTTTAACAAACACACATTTTAACCATAACGAAATAGACTATTGTATCAACTCTTCTTATATTAATCGGGACTTCAATACCTTCAACTATATTGTAAACTTTAAAACAGTACCACCAACTCGACCAACTTAGGCATAGCATAAATCAAGTTTCTCTTCTTAGGCAAGTAAAATGTTACTATTAGCAAAATTTTATAACTAAATCTAGTACATGTCTTCATGTGTTCCGCAAATAAGGAAGTCATGGTCAACCATTGTCAACCTTGGTAGATGACTTGACTCTATTAAATCCCAACAAACATGTCACCAAACACCACATGTATTTCACGGGCATTTTATGTTGCTACAACCATTCAGATAAAAAAGAAGGGAAATATAGCTATGATGTTGCAAAAAAAAAAAAAAAAAAATTTGCGGCAACACATAGAAAGATGGATCTGATTTTTTTTATTTTTTAAAAAAAAAAAAAATCAGTGGATCCTATTTTTTCTGTGTCCCATGCAAAAAAAATCTCACCTGCAATGACCACAGAAAAAAGGGACCAAAAAAGAAACTTGAAATCTCAAACAATTTTGGATTTAATTTTAATTGACTATCACATGTAAAATTTTGTTACACTATATAACATCATTAAAACAATTTGTGAAAAACCTGGCACCAAGCAACACCAAACATGAATTAAATTTGTAGTATATGATAAGATATTTTATCTAAATTAGGTAAAGAGATCCTCACATTTTCATGATCCAAATGCCTAAGCAGCTTAATCTCACGGAGCGTACGCTTAGCGTCCATATGATTGTCGAAAGCGTTCGCTATCTTCTTAACAGCCACCATCTCATTCGTCTCCGTATTCAACACCGAACTTCAAAAATCACATCAACAACGAACTTTTCAGATTTCTTAATTTTCAAAACCAAAAAAAAAAAAAAAAAAAAAAAAATACAGTTAAAATTAAGCACTAGCTCGCTCTCTCGCCAACAATTTAACCACGATTTATCGAAAACGAAAACAGAATCAGAAATACATAAATCTTTAACTAAATATCGCGTAGAAAAAAATATCAAGTTAAAAAAAATATATATATATCCAAATCCACAGAGAAAACAAGATTGCGAAAAAGTACCAAACGATTCCATAGGCGCCACGACCAATAGGCATGATCGGAGGGTGATACTTGGCCGTAACCTCGAAGAGGTTACCGAACACGTTGTACTGAATGAACTGTCCACCGTGAGTCTGAACCGCCGGAAAATCAGCAACGCCGTTCGGATTAACACCGGCCATTAGTTTTCCTCTCTCACTTCGCGAACTGAACAGGACTTTCTCTCTCAAGAAGACTTTCTCTCTCTAGAAACCGTCGAAGAAGACGATGATGTGTTGAAGAAGCAAGTGGAGATTTTAATTTAAATAATTTTTATAAGCGAGTGAGCGAGTCACTGAGTCAGTGCATGCGTAGTGTGTGTGTTTTGCTCGGTCCACTCGGCTGAGTTAGCACGTTGAGTTTTGGGACTCTTTCGAAGTAGATGCCAGGAAGAAGGTGCGAAAACGCGCGAAGGAAAGAAAAAAAAGCACACGCTCACAAGAGTCACGCGTTTGTGGCTTAATCCAACGGTTCAGATTATAGCCGCCTCTCATCTACGGTTTCAGTTTGTTCAATTATTTCAACTGCCATCCATCCATCCCAGCTTTCTTTTATTAATCTGTGATTTGAAAACGCTTTCCTCATTGATTGGATAGATGCCACCTCACAATATTTTAAAACTTACGTCAGATAATAATAATAATAATAATAATATCCTAAAGCCAGAAGTATTGACTCATACCTACGTCCTTATATGAATTACAAGATTGATTCCCTTGTTTCGGCCTTTGGCCACTTTCTGCCACCCAAATGAAAAAAAAATTCATAAAATCATTTTTGACTTTAGAATATTTAATTTCTCGAATAATTAATTAATTAGATGAATAGACTTATTAGTTAATCTGTCGCTAACAACTGCATTTACATCTCATCCCTTCTTATATTTCAAAGATTTTTCAATCATTGGTTATAAACTTAGTTTTAGCCACCACATACATCGATTTAAAATAAGAAAATTTATATCCATTTGTAGTAAGGGAATCAACCGCCAACATTAAAAATATAACTTATATTAATATAAAATAATCATGCCAAAATAAACTCTAATTTGTGATTTTAAATTAAAATATATATATTTAAAAATAATTATACATACATTTAACGTTACATTTTTTGCATAATTAACAGTTAAATCTAAATCAAAATTCTGACACTTGCATGTCAAAGGAGAACAATGAAATGGAAGTCCTTGGGCTCTATGTGTAAAGTCTGTTTTGCTCCGCAATCCAAATTCCAAACCCAAAGATCTATGATGCAGTTCATGTTTGACTAGCCAAGTAGACAAATGACTCTGCGATTTTATTTTATTTTATATGAACTAGGTATAAATATTTTCCTTTTTACATTACAGTATTTGGTAGAGAGAAAAAAAATTATGCATGAGAATCACGATTATCAGAAATATTTTGAAAAAGAGAATTTTTTGAAAATGTGATTAAAAAATTATTTGATAAACCAAAATATTATGGGAAAAGCTCATCCTCATGTTACTTATAATATTAAACTTGACTTGGGTAATATAAGGAAGAGTTTTGTGAGTATCACAAAATCTATTAGCATTACAAAATTTTGAAAAAAATTTTGTAAAATTTTGGAAGGCCATAGTTTTTGACTCAGGTATCCGAATCATGTGTTTTTTTTTATTTCATATAACTTTTCAAGATGTACACATTGGAAAAGTTTTGTAGAACATTTTTTGAACATATACTCGAGTACATGCACATAAACAGCAAATACTCAAGTATTGGGTCATACATTCGAATATATTGATCAGTCAATAATCAATAAGAAACAGATTGATATATAATTTTAGGACGAAATAAAATGATAAATTTTAAATTAAAAAAAGACAAAATAGTCTAATAGCCCATATCAAATGCACAAGCAAGAAGATTTTCCATGACCCACTTTGCTGAATTCAATGCCAACAGTAATAATAATATCCTAATCCAGAAGAAAACACAAATATTAAGCAAGAAGTATTGACTCATACCTACGTCCTTATATGAATTAGAAGATTGATTCCCTTTTTTAAGCACACTTTTACCATTGTCATCTACTCTAGTTGGAGGTTGACATCCTTCCTCTACACTATACCTAATTTTAAGATCTACCGACTCAAGGAAAATCTGCATCCTTGTTTTTCAGTAGGGATAATCAATCTCATTGAAAAATGGAGGGCGATAGGTGGAACCACCCTCAAGAGGAATATCCTGATGGAAAGAAGCCATATGATCCTTAACTCTTTGGCAGATAGCCAATCACTCAGAGCACGAAGCTCTGATACCACTTGTTGGGCAAGTGGCTTCTTACACAGGACGCTTACGGAACACCTAGAGGGGGGGGGGTGAATAGGTGTTCTAAACTTTTTCAAAAAAAATTTAAATTCAGTAAACAATTACACAATTTTTCTTCAGTCCCTATATGCCCAAAATAATTTTTCACAATGCTAAGAACAATGTAGTAACAGAATACGTACCCTAGCAATTTATAGAGTATAAACGCAGCAATATAATTTTCTTAAACAAAACAGAAAAATATTAATTTCCAAATACCAGAAAAAATTAGTTCAAGTGCTACAACAATTATATCAGAACCTATAAGGTGCTACAACACTTTCAAACCAGAATCAGTGTAACTGCCACTCTCTAAACAAAATATTCAGAAATTAAATCAGAGAGACAAGAGACACACGATATATCCTGGTTCACACCCACTAAGCCTAAGTAGGGTGTTACGTCCAGACTGAAGTAGCCGCAGATATTTTATTTATCACAAGTGTACCTGTTTTATAAACACGCGTCACACATGCAATCAAACAAGATATCGAAAATCTTCCTAGTGCCTACACTGCTCCAAGCTCTGAGAATACTCTCAAGCCGAACCTACGGAGTTCACCAACTCCTCTCACACAAGACCTCCACTCTCCCTAGTGGATTCTTGAGGCTCCAGGCCTTGAGACACACTCTCAAGCCAAGCACAAGGTCGCCAACCCACACGGTTGCACCCACACACCTAGGACAGATTTACAGCACGCAACTACTCCACTTTAACAACCAATACAGAATTTTTCAGAACTGTAACAAGTGAAATAACCAAACAATACAGTTTCCTATCACACCAAATATATCACGGTAATATCAAACTAAGCTCCACAAATTTATGTCATATGCAGAAAATTACACCAATGACATATGTATGAAAATCTCTAAAATTAATGCACCAAGGAGCTTGGATATTACACAATTAATTTTCTAAACAATGGGTACCAAGAAATCTGATTTAAACAGAAAATATTACAATGTAAATGGAAAAATAATATTCAGAATTTTTCTCAAAATTTCACATAAAATCCAGAATTAATCTTCTAATACAGAACCAAAAGAAAATTTGAATTAAACACAATATGCCTCAATGAAACCAAAAATTCAGATTTAACATGCTTAACAAAAATTCTTCAAAATTTCAGAATATAGGGTTCAAATAAAAATATTAACCAAGAATATGAGTAGATTAGAGTTTACCAAAATGAAGCCCTAAATTCTTTATCAAAGAATCTCAAATTTTTCTCCAAGAAAATATGTAGCCACCACAAACAAACGAGGAACCAGATCTTTCTCCAAAAAGATGATGAAAACAGAGATGTGAGAAGGAGAGTAGAATCAGCGTTTATGAATATTTAAACTAGTGTTTCTTGAATGATGAACTCGATTAGCTATAGAAAATAAGTGTTGTATTTTTCCTCTCTCTTTTTTTCTTCTTTCAAGATAGTTGTTAACAAGAAAGTGTGCTTTGTGCTCAGCGTTTTTGACGAAGACTAAAATTGAATTGGTAAAGTGAATTCCCTTTTTGTTTATTACTTTCTTTTTATATTGCTTACTATCTTCTTAAGAGAACCCACGTGACGTGAACTTTTCGTATAGCTTTTCAATTGGTAAAGCTACTTTATTTTTTTCTTATTATATTTATTATTTAAAGCAACTTGTACATCCAACTAGGGGTGTTCATCAACCGTTCCAAACCGATTCAAACCGCGATAACCGAAAAATCGAAAATCGAAAACCGAAAAAAAATCGCAAATTTTAATTGGATTGAATCGGTTTTAGGATTGGTTAATGAAAACCGATCCAATCCAAACCGATCCAATATATTAATTCCCCTCTTTCTACTTGGGTATTTCCCCAATCATAGCCCAACAATTTCTAAACTCAAGACCCATTAATCCATCACTAAACCCAAGAAAAAATCTAGTCACATCTCATCAACAAAATCTCATCTGCGTAAAGCTTCATAACTCATTGTCCTCCCAAAAAAAAACTATATTATCGTTTACTGATTTTTTTATATTTTAAAATATATTTTTTACAAAGTCAATATATATAAGATGTTATCTACATAATAATTATGAAACAAATTTTATGATTTTCAAAAACCCGAAAACCGATCCAATCCAAACCGAAAAAAATTGGATTGGATCGGATCGGATTTGAAAAAAAGTCCAAACCGAATGGATGATTACATGATCAAACCGAAGAGATTGGATCGGATGATTTTTGCTTCCAAAACTGATCCAATCCAGACTGCGAACACCCTTACATCCAACTATCCAAGTGACCTGATGGCTTAACTTTTTATTTACTTTTGATTTGTCCTATTATATTATATTATATAAAACCCAAAGTTCGCATATATATATATATACATAAATCAACCAACATATAAGAATCGTTGTAGACTTTGTTTCTTTACATATATATAATTGATTTAGTTTTATTATATTACTTTTACTTTTTGATTTTTATTAAAACAGATTTTTAATTGATTTTTTTTATCATTTAATTTTTAATATGAAATGCATCCAACTAAATACATGTAATGCAATGATATGTATTGGAGCCTAGGAAGATACCATATGATATAATATAGTGTGAAACAAAATTTCTAAAAATACCTCACCACTTGTATCTTCAAACTCCATCTTCAATTTGAGACTTTTTGTAAATCCTTTGTCATCATCAAAATATGTATTCCATTATGCTTAAGAGGTCTTCAATCTTCCCCTTTTTAATGATGGCAATTTAAACTCAAATTGAAATAAGTAAGGGTTAGTAGCATAAGATATTTAATCATGTTATCACATACTCCCCCTAAACATATGCATACTCAAAATTATTATGCTAATTAAAAGTAAGGCATACATATGTTCTCAAGACTTCTCAAAACTCCCCCTCAAAATATGCATAAGCTCATAAGCTCAATTTGATGATATTCATATTTTCTCCCCCTTTGACATCATCAAAATCAATTATAACATATAACAAGGAACAAAATTGGATAATGCATATAACAAGC